TTCTGCCTGTCTGTGGGGGCAGGGGGTGGGGGGGTGGGGTGGGGTGGGGATGGACGGAGTACTGTCATTACATGAAATGACTTTGATGGATAGGTGGCCCTCAGCTCAGGACACATGCCCATTCCAGAGACCCTTCATGGTTGCTTTCTCTGTCTCAGGAAAATCTGCCCTAAAATGTACTTCCTTGAATGCTAACAAAGATTGAGTACATCTGACTTGTTTCTAGGTTACAGGAACCAAATGCTCCAGGGACCATGGGTGGTTGAGGGTGATCTGGGCCTAAGACTGAGCCCACATAGAACAGTACCCAGGGCTAGGTGACCCAGTGAAAACAAATTCTGTAGAGAAGGTCACAGACCAATTACCTAGCTTGACCAGACAGAGTCCAGAGGGTCTGGGATGGATGGACCAGTAAGGCTACTGTTAGCCCCTCCTCCATGCAGGTCAACGGGAGAAGGCAGCCTGGGAAGCTCATCAGGACAAACTGACAGGCCAAACCTGAACTTCAGGCAAAGTGGAAGGTCAACCCAAAATCCAAGATGGAGGCATTTCAGAGACATTTAAAAGGGTCATAAAACAAAAGATCCAGGAATAAGGAGCTTCCTCAGGGCAGTGAGAGGTAACTGGGGACAGAGCAGTTGCATAGCAGAATCTAGGACGACAGCAAGATTCATCTTGCTTAGGAAACAGGCTATTATTATCCCCAGGAAACAGCTGGAGACACTCGGCAGGCAGGTAAATGCAGTCATGAGTCTTACAGCCCTTGAGGACAAGGTCTCTCTCCAGCTTGGCATAGAGACCAGGGGGTGGCAGAACTGAGACAAACTGACAGGTAGCCTGGATACTGGGAGGCAGGGGTCTGGGCTATATACCCAGAGCCCAGGAACACAGCTGTGCTTTTCCACAGGGAGGAACCGGGGTTTCCTGAGCCAGTGGCCAGGGCCCCAAGTCAGTGCTCATGGCATACACAGCAGGGACATGTGATGAGGGCTCCTGTCCCAGCAGAGGGACCTCTGAACATTATACAAAAGGTGGCACAATGAGAGGTAAGGCCTAGAGAAATGAGACCTACGTGGACAGTCTGCTTCAGGAAAGAGGGGAGCGAAAACGGGTACCATACATAGGGCAGGCATCTAAAGGAGAGACAGGTGTGAGGGCCACACCTGCAGCTCATCAGCCACTGCAGGCTCTGGCCAATAGCTCGCCACATGGGTGAAAAAACAAAGCCAGGCCACACCTAGGATGGACAGCCATCTCCCAGTTCAGGCCAGTCCACCAGCTATGGGATCTAAGGAACACTACATCCTCCCATCACAGATGTGCAGCCCACTGGTGGAGGAAGACAGTTGAAGAGGCAGTTCCTGGCTTTCCAGAAAAGCTGAACATGGAGATGTAGGCCTGTCATCAGGATGCTGAGGTGGGAAGATTGTGAGTTCGAGGCCAGCCTGGCTTATGCAGCGAGACCCTATCTCAAAAATAAAACTAGACAGGTAAGTCTCAAAAGGCCAGCTAGGTAGAGGTTTGCAGAGCATAGGCTCCTTGGGGCCCTTGAAAGGGCTGCAGGACTCAGGAGCACCAGGGGGCAGAATCTGGGATTTGCTTAAAAAAGGGGGAGGATGAAAGTTTGCAGCAGGGAATTCTCCCAGTGAGGCAGGATGAGGTCTCCACTTCTGACACCTAGTGACTGTGATGGCAGCATGGGGTCCCACCTGCCATTCTCAATAAGATCTCCCAGTAGAGCCAGCAGAGGTCTACCTCAGGAGCCACGTCCAGAGCTTCTACCCAGGACCTCAACTGCCACACTATCCACTGGACCTGGGTCTAGGAAAATCTCAGCATCCTCTGCAGTTAGAGACCAGACACCCAAAGCTGGAAGTCACCTGGGAATCTGGCCATCAGTCATGATGGATCAACCTGGCTCTGCACAGATGAGGAGACCAGAACCGAAGGAGGGAGGAGATCTGATTAGGGTTTGCTACAGGCAGTTACTGAGCAGCAGCTCTGCTCAGGCTTGGGGTGAACATGGTCTCCTTTGGTCCCCACAACCCAAGCAGCACTGTGTTACATGTGAATGCCAAAGTCACAGAGCTGGTCAGTGAGGTCACCGCCAGGGTACCTTCTTCCTCCTCAGGGCTCTTCTCACAAGGCAGAGACCTAGGCAGAGGCTGCAGATGGTGTGGGTCAAGAAAGGTAAGCAGGGTGCTGGGATGCAGGCACTTGGCAGTCCAGTGCTGGGGGGTTGGGAGAAGGAGGCAGAGACTAACGGATAGTATTTCAACAAGCTGGGCTAGTCACCACCAGGCCGCTTTGGGCAAACTCCCGAGAGGATGCAGCCATTTGTGCCTTGAAAGAAGCAAACCTGATACCCAGTCCCCCTGCCCCACAACTCTTACCACTGGGGAAGTGATACATATTCATGAGCCCATAATCCTTTCTAATCACCCCTCCATCGCACATACACAGATCCCGAAGACTCAGGCTCATACATAATTATAAGGCGCTTCTTCCGGCACCACCTCAGTCCACCAAAGGACAACAGAGGACGCAGTGGCTGCAGAGGATGCATGGTGGGGGAGGGCACTGAGGCTCAGGTGCAGGGGGGTAGCGGGGGGGACTGTTTGCTGCCCACACTCAGCAGCCTCAAGGTGCCCCTCCCCTCAAGGACTCATCTGCAGCAGTAGCCGTTCTGCCACTCAGACCCACAGACCTTCCAGGACTCAGCCTGGCCTGGCAGCACTCTCTGGAGGCATGGGGTGAGGGGTGACAAGGAGACAGAGCTGCTTACCCTCCTGCCTAGAGAGGAGACCTATTTCCTGAGCAGGGTTTAAGGACTCAACCCAGAGCTAAACTGAGGAATGAGGGACGTAAGAGACACAAGGAGTTGCTGAGAGCTGGGCTCGGCCAGGACTAGCGGGAGGAGGCTGTATGGTATAGGGGAGATACTAACAAAGGCTACAGAACTCAGAGCTGGTCTCAAGAGAGAAACCTGTCACTCTATAGGCCACTTTCAGGCCGGCCTGGGCTAGATCAGGTGCCGCCAAGCCTGAGTTTGATTCCCAAGACCTATATGGCAGAAGGAGAGAACTGGCTCCCTCAAGTTGTCCTCCAACCCTCACACACGGACCGTGGCATGGGCACACTTGCCCCCATATACACACAATTAATATATAAATTTGAAAGAAAGAAAGAAAGAGAGAGAGAGAGAGAGAGAGAAAAAGAAAGAAAGAAAGAAAGAAAGAAAGAAAGAAAGAAAGAAAGAAAGAGAAAGAAAGAAAGAAAGAAAGCAGGCAAGCAAGCAGAGAGCCAACACTGTGGACAGGCTTCCTGGGTACCTCCAAGATGGAAGCTAACAAACAAGGGGGTTTTCCTTGAAGTAAAAGGCGGGGTAATTTTTGACAAATTATTTCTCTACACATTTCCTCCAAACACCTGCTCAGATCTATTCTCGGCACCCCCTTGTGTTTCCTGTTTCATGTACAATCCAGGGAAGACCTGCTGGCAAAGACAGGGGTAGGTAGGCCTGAGGCCCCAGGACTCACTTGCTGATACCCTCGAAGGAGGCCTCCCTGCAGACATTGCCACTGTCTGTGTTGACACCGCGCTGTGGGGAGAGGAAGGAAAGATGTGAGAGCAAGTACGTCACATAAGGACCACACAGCATCCCACGGCCTGCCTGGGAAGGTGTGTCTCATGTATCCAGGCTCAGACAGGTAAGAACAGAGAGCCCCATCCCAGCCCGGCACACCCTTTCCCTCGGGCCTTCCCCTGACAAATGAGCCCTGTAGATGGGTATCTCTAAGCGGAGGCCCCAGAATGAAGATGAGGCTCAGTTTTTCCAATGCACTGTGAAAAGCAGAGGAAACCACATTCAGTGGTGGTTCACCTAAGTAGTTTCAGCACTCAGGGGATGGAGGGAGGGGCACACCACTCAAGGCTAGCTTGGGCTATATACAGTGTCTCAAAAATAAAACAATAAACTCTAAAAGGAAGACAGAAAAGCAGAGGAAGCAGCAGCAGGGGTACGAGAGACCTGCAGCACCCAGGCACACAGCCGGGGGTGGGTCCAATGGGTTAGCGTACTCTGCTGACACCAGTCAGACTCTCAAGTCCAGGCAGGGGCTGGGCAAGAGCAAGAACCTGAGATACCCTGGCCCTCCCACCACTAATCTGCTCTCCTCAGGCGTGGTCCCACGCACAGGCTTCCCACCAGCAGTGTGGGGCCCAAAGGAGTAGAACCAGCTCTCTGTACTGCAGTTTTGCATCCACAGAGTCAACAATAAAGGAGAGGAAATACTTGAATAAAAATTGCAGCAGCAGATTTTTTTGCTTGTCATCGTCCCCTAAACAATATAGTATATAACAATATAGGCAAGAGCACTTAACATTGCATTAAGTGTTGTGTATAATCTAGAGATGGTGTATCATATATGGGAGGATGTGCACAGGTTATAGTAATAAGGGGCTTGAGCATTTGTAGGCTTCGGGATCCCCAATGGGTCTGGGAATCAATCCTCAATGGATACTGAGGGACCACTGTCCTGTCATATCTAGCCCTTCAGCCCAGAGGCAGGACTCACATCAGGCAGGACTGCTGTGAACTTGGCCTCCATCCCACCCTTTTCCTAACTGTAAAGCGATACCTAACTGGAATGCACACTTACAGGGAGACCAAGCAAGGGTACAGAGAAAAACAAGCTGCCCCAGAGCAGCAAAATATTTTCAACAGCCACAGCTTTCTTAAGAAACTCAGGTTGATTCTTGTCAAACTGCACACCCAAACAAAACACGCCAAGCCAGCCCTGACCACAATCATCCAACACAACTAACCTCCCTGCTCAGTCACAGAAGCAGCTGAGCAGAATAAAGAGAAGAGGTGGAGGAAAAACTATTCTTGTACAAATCAGCTAACAGTGGAGAGAAGGGCCTCTCTGGAAGGAAGAATGGCTATGCGCTGAGATTCCCAAGGTCAAAGAATAAGAAAGCACACTTCTCTCAGACAACCCATAGCCCAGGGGGCCCCTAAGCCCTGCTTGGGTACCAGGAGCCCACCCTGTACCCATGTTCCACCCCAGGCTGTGCCCCACCTCAAGGCCAGGTGCTAAAGAATATGATTTTTAGATTCTATTAACAGAGGAGACTCAGGGTAAAAAAACAGTGACAATCTATACCCACAATGCCATGCACTTTGCTGGACATAGCTACATCTCCCAGCGGGGTTTTAATAGGCATGCATGTGGTACCTTCCACTGTGCAGAGCACAGCCTGTGCAGACTGGAAGACGGAGTCCTAGACACAGTCAGCCATTAGGACTGAACAGGTGTCCCTACTTATCAGGGCTGACTGTTTCTCTTTTGCTCTCTCTGTTTGTTTGTTTGCTTGAGACAGGGTCTTACTATGTAGCCCAGGCTGGCTTCTAACTGATCCTCCTGCCCCAGCCTCCCGAGTGCTGGCATGCACCACGCCTAGCTTCCTCTCAGTCTCTTAATCATCCCTTATAGCCTGACCTCAGCAGAGGCAGCAGCCCTCTAAAACTCTCCTGGGTACCAAATACTGCATGAGTCCTGCAGACCAGTCACTTACCAAAGTGAGGAGGATGGAGGGGTTCTGTGACATCAAGACACTGGCGATCTGAAAAAAATCAAAAAGGAAACCCACTTTATTATGATTTGAATCTGAAATGTCTCCGAAAGACTGATGTGTTGAGTACCTTGGCCTTGGCTTGTGGCACTTTTGAAGGCTGTAGATTCTCTCAGAGGTGGGGTCTGGCTGGGCTGGCAGAAGTCACTTGGTGGGCCTTTGAAAGACATTCCTGAACCCTGATCTCTGCCTCACTCTCTGCTTCCTGGTCCATGTAATGAGAATACACTCTAACATGTTCCTGCCACCATAAACTGAGCTGTCCAGTATAATGTCCCCACCATGATGGGCTGAAACCCTCTGAAACTGGGAGCTAAAATAAACTTTTCCTTCCTTGTTTCCATCAGGTATTTTGTCATAGCAACAAGGAAAGTGACTAATCTAAGCAGCCACAAAAGAAGTCAGATAGAGATGATACACAGTCACTACCTAATGATGACAGCATTCATCTATGAAGCAGGTCCTCAAGACAGGTGGTACCACTGCTGTACCCATCCTGCAGATGAGAAAAACAAGGCACAGAAGGGCTGAAGGATTTCAGAAAGCCACCCAGCTATCAAAGTGAACAGAAAGCTTCAAACCTAAGCCTGGCACACACCTCACTTGTGACCTACTTCTAGGGACCACACAGATCCCTGGTCCCAAAAAGGCAGACCTGCCTACTCTCCAAGGCCAGCCCCTGTGTCCAGTTGTCCTCAATGCAAACACCCCCCTCCCTGCCTGCCACTGATCTCCTAGACTAGACAGACTGAGGGGAGTTAGCTTCTTCAGCTCCACTCACTGGCTTCCACCTCCTCATTCACACCTCCTGCACCTGCATACTGAATGCTTCCTTCCCCAGCACCTGGAGTGAGAGCAGCAGGCTCACCCTGCCCACACCTCTGCTCACTCTCACCTACAGTGGGATCACCTTCACTACTCCATCCCACCCCCAGGTTTGAGCCCCAGCCCACTCCTGTAGGCATGTTCAGTCACTCCCCCTTCTACCATCCAGCTGGCCCACCATCCATGCCCTGACAAAGCACCCATCACACATTAGCTAGGACACTAGTACCCCAGAGTGCTGAGCACCCTACTTGGTGCAATCTGGTCCTCTGGCTGGCTGTATCTGAATCCTGCTCCTCACCCCCACCCTAGGCTCTCTGACACCCTCAAGACAGGAGAAGAGGATGGGCTGTTAGAACAGACTGGATGAGCTATCACCAAAACACTCTATGCTGCACATATTTAAGGTGGACATTTTGATGAGTTTTGACATATGTACATACACACTTTTCAATACTAAAAGCCTCCTGGAACATATTGAAAACCATGAAAGATAAAATGCACCTGCAATCCCATCCCCAGAGACGGTTCAGCTCTGCACACAGAAACAGAGATCTGTAATGACATTTGGATCATATGAAATTACATGCTTCGCTTATTTCCTGTCATTAAATATTCTTCAAACATGCAATTTTTAGCAGTCACTACCGCTGGGGATGGTAAACGTTCAATAAGTCTTTGATTATGGCTTGTGTCAATCATCTTACACACATCATCTCATTTAACCACCCAGGAAGATGCTGATCCAAATGTCCAGGACTCACAAATGAGAACAGCTTGTGGGTTACACAACTTGTCTAATTTCTTGGTTAAGAAACAACAAAGCCGGGGCTGGAGCGGTGGCTCTGTAGTTAAGAGCACATCTGACTCTCCAGAGCACTTGGGTTTAGTTCCCAGTACCCACATTGGTCAGATTACAATCATCTGTAATTCCAGCTCCAGTGGCTCTGATACCCTCTTCTGGTCTCGTTGGGCACCCATACACATACATACATACATACATACACACACACACACACACACACACACACACGCTAAAAAAAATTAATTTGGGGGGCTGGAGAGATGGCTCAGCAGTTAAGAGCACCAATTGCTCTTGCAGATGGATGCAGGTTCAATTCCCAGCACCCACATGGTGGCTACAGAACCATCCTCAACTCCAGTTCCAAGGGAATCTGAAACCCTCTTCTGACCTCCGCAGCATTGCACAACACAGGTGTACTCACTTACATGCAGACAATACTCTCATACACATAAAATAAGAATAATTAAAAATAAAATGTTTTTAAAAAAATTAAGTTAGAGCCGGGCGTGGTGGCACATGCCTTTAATCCCAGCACTCGGGAGGCAGAGGGAGGCAGATCTCTCTGAGTTCAAGGCCAGCCTGGTCTACATAGTGAGTTCCAGGACAGCTGGGGCTACAGGGAGACCCTGTCTCAAAAAGACAAAATAATAATAATAATAATGTTAAATAATGCTATGGTAAGTATTCTTACATATATAGCTTTATTTCCTTAAAATCTCTTAAATTCTTTAAGGGATTTCCTAGTATGTTATGGTGGCTCACATCTATAATGCTGGCACTTGGGAAGCTGAGGCAGGAGGATCATGAATTTGAGGCAAGCCTAGAATACACAGTGAGGCACTTATAAGGGGAAAAAAAAAAAGTTACTTCCTTGAAGAAAAACATCAAATGAGTGAGCGTAGAAGTACATGCCTGTATCCCAGAAATCAGGAGGTCGAGGCAGGAGGATCACACATTTGAGGTCAGCATGGGCTACATGGGACCCTGCCTCAAAAACCAAAGAGGGATGGAGGGAGGGAGGGGAGAGGGAAAAATTTAAATCAAATGAGCCAAAAGGCCAGTATTCCATACCAACCATGGTCTAGCCATCTGGACACGAGGCACTGGCTCCCTGGGTCCACCTGCCCTCCTTCCCTCGCTCACTAACTGCCTGGAGTACAGCTGAGTCCCTTGCACTCTGTGTTGCACAAACGAAGGCTTACCGAGTCCATTCCTCCCGCCAGCCCCTCCAAGAGGAGGGGGAGGCTCATTAAAACCAACAGAGCCGAGTGTGTCAGGCCCTGGGTGTGTTGTTTCATTGACATGAAGGGTCTACATTCATCAGCACACAACGATGCTGTCAATTACGGCGGCAGAATCAGAGAGCGAGGAGGCACTTGGGGATTGTATCTGCTATTGTCCTTGGGAGAGAGGAGAGGAAAACAAACGTGCAGGCTGACGGTTTTTCTCTCCGAAATGACTCTCCGGTCATGCTGGTTAGGAATAACTCTGGACATGCTGGTTAGGAATAATGGAGGAGAAGACCGCCCTCACCATGTGCGCCTGCCTCTCAGATGCATGGAGGCCGGATACAGAGAGCAGGTCAGGCGTCTGTGAGTCCTGTCAGGGTAACATCTTTTATTGATCACAGCTGCTTGAGTGGGCCCGGGTTACCTCTAAGGCTGCAGAACCTCTCCCAGCCCAGCAGCTCCATCTGCCTTCCCCGTGGAGACCCATTAGCGCTACACTCATCAGCACACCAACTAGAGGCTGCGCCTCAAAAATTAAGGGAACAAGATGCAGTTGTGTCCTTGGCTCTGCATGTGGCCCCAACACATCACAGCACAGCTTGTACAACCCAGGGCCTCATTTCCATGAAGCAGTGGTCACTGGGGACCCATCTGCTCTCCCCAATGGTACAGTTGAGTGTCCCAGCATCCATCTCCCAGGCACCTAGGTAGACAGGCACCCACAGAACTTACCAGAGCCCTATAAGTCCAGATCCCGACCTGGAGATAATCCGGGGGCTTCCTGGGGGTGGGGGGTGGGGGACACCTTGCACCCTTTCCTAACCAGGACTCCGACCAGGCCTCTTGAGTCACTCTTCACAAAGGAATTAGACACGCATCAACAGCGCTGCTGAGAAAGCCCATGTGGCCATGGTGGGTTGGGCTCTGCCCTCCTAGCACTAAAGCTCTTGAAAATAAGCCATTGTTCATGGCAGTCTCCCAAAACATTAGTGCACACCAGTGGCCAGCAATGCCTTTAAATGTTTGAATACGTTTTTAAAATGAAAATATCACGCACAATATGGATATATGACTACTCTCGAACAATCCAAGTATGTCCTGCAGAACAGCAGGCCCTTCAGAGCAGGACAGCAATCCTGGTGCCATCACAGACCCCTCCCTTTTATCAAGCCTCTAACACACCAAGTCCTGGTGGTAGGCAGCATCTAGCCCTGGGCTGCTCTGGTCCTTTCTCTTACATTCAGCCTCCCTGAGGCTGAGTAACTGACTGCTACCTTTGAATATCTGCTTGGTGCCATAGAGCAAGTATAAAAATCATTCTCCGCCCTGTCAGCTCCCAACTGGTTACAGACACCAGCCTACACCAGGTCTAATCAACAATGCTTCAAAGCCCCTCCCAAGTGCCCCGAGTGTCCCTTTACTAGGAATTAAACTCTGGGTCCTCTGTGAAGAGGACAGGGACGAGAGAGCCAGGTCTGCTATCTCAGACATCAGCATTTTTTTTTTTTCTGAAACAAAGTTCCATGTAGCCCAGGATGTCCTTGAACTCATGTAGCTGAAAATGATCTTGGATTTCTGATTCTCCTGCTTCCACCTCTAAAGTACTAGGATTACAGGCATTTACCACCATACCTGGCTTATGTGGTGTTGGGGATTGAACGCACAGCTTCCTCAACACTAGGCTCTATCAGCTGAACAATATCCCCAGCTGACAGCTGAATTTTTTTTTTTATGAGTCATCAAGCAATCAGCCATGACCTCGGACCCTTCCTGCCCTCATTCAGAATAAGCATGCACCTGTAGCTTGCTATGGTTTGTAAAGATGGTCAAGGATCCACAAAGTTAAATGGAGTGGCTGAGCACCATAGAACTGGCCTGGGGACACTGTCCCTGCTTAGGGGCTTCCTGTCATGGTCTGAGGAGTAAGCCAGGCTTGTACCAGCTCCAGGAAATGCCTTCCAGCCTCTGGGGTACAATTTGGCAGCTTACACCTTTCGGTAGGATTTATTTTGAACTTCAGAAAAACCAAAGGCACTTAGGAGCCTGGATCACCTCTCCACAAGCCTCTCATTTCTGACAGGGCAAGAGCAGAGCTGGAGGGTACCCCAATGCTGCCACTCCTTAGCGTAGGATGCTGATGAGGCCTTTCACCTCACAGTCCTGGCTTCCTTGTCTATAGATGGGGTTGAAGCTGTGGCTCACCATGGAACAGGGTGGGAGGGAAGCACCTCTCTTACTGTTCACGTAAGTTCTTGCTTCCAATAAGAACAGCAGTCAAAGCTGGGACGTAGTTCAGTGGTGGAGCGCTTGCCTAGCATGTTCAAGGCCCTTGGTCTCATCTCCAGCAGAGAAAAACAAAAAGAAGAAAGAACAGTCTCTGGTGACCAGCAAAGCTGATCAATGATGGTAATGACTGTGCTGCCGTTACCGAGTACTCAGAACCTAAAAGACTCTGTCCTTTGAACCCTATTGACGCTGCCATTTAAAATTTTGCTTTAAAAGATTAAGATCGAGCTGGCCTGTGTTGCTGTCGACCTTTACTATCACTAAAGACTTTCCTACTCTGACATGTCCTCTTCTGGTACTGTCTGGCCCTTGGAGACCCAGCTCCTCCCTTTCCCTAGAAACCACAGTGCAAAAGGAGTTGAATTCCCCACCCACTTAGTTATAAAAGCAAAGTGTCGGGGCTGTGAGGCTGCAGCCCAGGGAGGGCTGTTACTCAGCAATGGGGGCCTGACCAAGGCAGGAACTCATCCCAGAACCCCACGACAGAGCCTAGCTCTCCCTCCAGGTTTGATAACTAGGGAGACCTGAAAGTCAAGGCTCAAAATGGCAATGACCTTAAGATGAACTTTATGGGCAGAAGGATGGTGAAGAGACATCTGTCAAAAGACAGCTTCAGAAACAAAGTCAGTGTGTCTCCCCTTCTCTGGTACTTAGAAATACAGAGCGGCAGATGACTCATTAGGAACACATAAATAAATGTCCATTCTATTACAGATCCATATACAAAAAAACGTATATAATAGATGGCTCTGCGTTAACACACTCAGATGTTGTGAGCCACCCTTGAAAGCTTGTCTTGGAGCCAGATGACATAAGGATCCATCAGGCACCCTCTCAATGTGGGGGAAAAGGAACCTTATACACTGTAGGTAGGGTTGTAAATTAGTGTAGCCACTATGGAAATCAGTATGGAGGTCCTCAAAAAACTATGTATGATCCAGCAGTACCATTCCTAGGTACATACCTGAAGGAATCTAAATCAGCCTACTACAGAGCTACTTGCACACCCATGTTTATCCCAGCACTATTCCCAAAAGAGATAGGCAATCAGTCTTAAGTATCCATAAACAGACAGTGGAGTATTATTTGGCCATGAAGAGGAATGAAATGATGTCATTTGCAGGAAAGTGGATGGAAGTGGAGATCATCATGTTAAGCAAAATATGCTGGACTTGGAAAGAGGAAGATCACAAATCTTTCAAATGCAGAATCTAAGAGTTGAAAAACAAGAAAGTAGAGGCGGGACTATTGGGAAGAGGAAATAGATCAGTGTCTGGGGACAAGCAGTAAGTGGGGCATGATCAAAGTATACAGTATACATGTATGCAAATGTTATAACGAAACTCATTCTTTCTAAATTAATATATACCAATAAATAATTATTTAAAACCTTTTGGGGAAAAAGCTGCCTATCTCTCCACGGTTCCCAGGGCAGAAGACACTGCAGACATGACCCCCGAGGTGCAGGCCTGTGAGTGGTTCTCTTTCACTGGGGTTTTCCTGGGAACCTGACTGGGCACTACTGTGACTTCATCCATGTGGTCACTACCTAGACCATGCCCTGTGCTGCTGGGTAGAGCCCTGGGCTCAATCACCTTGGATGCCCCACATATCCCTGGGACTGGGAGGAGACTGCATGGGCCATATCGAGAGGAAAAGAACCAGGCTACCAGATTCTCAAGAGAGAGATGAGATGACAAAGGGCAGGGTGCAGATCAGAACCCAGACAGTGCCCACATTGGCCACAACCAACACCGAGTGCTCAGGGGAGGCACCATTTTGGCTAGGGTTGGCACGGGACCCGTGGGCTGCTACACTGAGGGATGAAGATGATAAACAAGAGGTAGGACTGGTATTCTGGGGCTACTAGAGGCAGGACTACATACAGCATGAAGCTGAAGCTGGCCCTCCTGAGGTCAAGGTGAGCTATCTGCTCACAAAACACTGAGCAGAGACAGACTGGTTCCTCTCAGTGCCAAGCCCCAGAAGCCTGCTTCTCACCTGGTGCTATCACCCCAACACAGCTGTGTCCTGCCCAGGAAAAGGGGGCCTGCTGCTTAGTCCCCACTGGACAGGTTTCCTGTCCACCTCCACACTATATTCCTAGCCATACCCTGAGTCCTACCCACAGCTCCAGCCATTTCCATTTCCTCCTCCTCTTTTGTCTTTTTAAGGAAATTATTAGTATATATTAATAGTAAAAAATTATGTGTTTTATACTTTCATACATGTATATCAAGAACCTTCGATAATATTCACCCTCTATTACCTTTCTTTTCCTCCCTCTCCCATCACTGGTCCCCCCTCTTCTTAAATAGCTCCCTTTTGACTTTCACAACACACATAAATAGTTTAGATAGATGATGATAGATGATAGACAGATAGATAGATAGATAGATAGATAGATAGATAGATAGATAGATAGATAGATGATA